TTATATTATAAATTAGTACTTTTAATTTGCAAAATAAAAAGAATAGTTTCTTCTTAGTTTTAAAACTAGTTAATTATTTCTAAAATCCATTTTATGTTGGTTTTTAATTTATTTATTTTTTAAATGGTAAATAATATAGAAAAATTGACTAGAAGGAAATTAAAAAAATAATATTATATTAAAGCATAAGTCAATAAACTAATTCATTAGTTTTTAAAATTATGGACACTATTTATTTAATTTGAAAAATTAGCAGAATTTCAATGTTAATGTAAAAACAACAATGCTTATGCAAAATCATAAGTTTTATATAAGTAATTTTTTTAATTGATTCGGGTCAATGACCAGATCGGGTTTCATACGTGACCAATCCACGTATATTCAATTAATTCGCGAACCAAGGCCAGTCTTGCAAGTGATAAAAGAAGCGGAGTTCTTGCAGTGCCATAATCTCTTGATGACAATGCAGCTAACTATAACTTTCTCCTAGCAAGTTCAATATTTTTTAATTAAAAAAAAAGTAGAAAAATTATCAATATTCACATAATTCCCATCACTAAACGCACAAAATCCATAGCAAAACAATTTTGCCATCAAACATTCCGGTAGGAAAAACCTTGTCCGATAAATTAGTTAAGATGGAAAATTCTGTCCCGGGAATATTTTATAAATTTGGCCTCATATTTCATAAATAAAAATAAGAAAAGCTTGTACTCGAGGCATTAGCCTAGCATAGCAATAGAAAATACTTGTTCTTTTTCTCTATACTCGGATTCAAGCCTTATTGTATATGTTTGTTATCCTTGCGGTGTCTTACATGTTCATTGGACTTGCAGAATGTTCAGTGAGTTATGGAATTAGTCGTGGTATGCGTAAGCTAATTCAGACACCCATATAAATAAAAAAATAATAAGAAAAGCTTAGAAAAAGAAAATGAAAACTTCAATTATCTGCCAAAAGTTTTACAAAAAAAAAAAAATAGAGTGTAGGAAAAAAACTATTTATTTATTTTAAAAAATTAGTGGAATCTCAATGTTAATGTAAAAACAAAAATGCTTATGCAAAATCAAGTTTTATATAAGTAATTTTTTTAATTGACTCGGGTCAATGAATGTAAAAACAACAATGCTTATGCAAAATCAAGTTTAATATAAGTAATTTTTTTAATTGATTCTGGTCAATGACCAGATCGGGTTTCATGCGTGACCAATCCACATATATTCAATTAATTCGCGAACCAAGGCCAGTCTTGCAAGTGATAAAAGAAGCGGAGTTCTTGCAGTGCCATAATCTCTTGATGACAATGCAGCTAACTATAACTTTCTCCTAGCAAGTTCAATATTTTTTAATTAAAAAAAAAGTAGAAAAATTATCAATATTCACATAATTCCCATCACTAAACGCACAAAATCCATAGCAAAACAATTTTGCCATCAAACATTCCGGTAGGAAAAACCTTGTCCGATAAATTAGTTAAGATGGAAAATTCTGTCCCGGGAATATTTTATAAATTTGGCCTCATATTTCATAAATAAATAATAAAAAAAAAAGCTTGTACTCGAGATGTTAGTCCAGCAATAGAAAAGACTTGTTCTTTTTTCTATATCCGGGTTCAAGCTTTACTGTGCATGTCTGTCATTCTTGCGGTGTCTTACATGTTCATTGGACTTGCAGAATGTTCAGTGAGTTATGGAATTAGTCGTGGTATGCGTAAGCTAATTCAGACACCCATATAAATAAAAAAATAATAAGAAAAGCTTAGAAAAAGAAAATGAAAACTTCGATTATCTACGAAAAGTTTTACAAAAAAAGAATAGAGTGGAGGAAAACTGCAGTAGGGAAAAATTAGAGAGATGTTTGGGAACGACTCCAACCTGTTCAATCAGTATTTTTAAAAATTTTATTATTTAAAAATTAATATTTTTTAATTTTTTAAATCATTGTGTTGAATTAATTTAAAAAATAAAAAAATTATTTTAATATATTTTTAAATAAAATATATTTTAAAAAATAACTATAATCATTTTCCTCAATACCCTTTAAATGAGTTTGCCCTTGTCAAATCACTTGCACGAAGCTATAGTTTGAAATGACATGTGAGGTCACTTGGATCGTCCGTGGCCCTTAGGCATATGTAAGGCCCATTGTGTGTGGACAAGAATAAAACTTGTCAACATCTGAGTGATCTGTTTTTTTAATATATATTTAATAGATCTATCCTTAATTTTTTTATGTTTTCATTCAAAGTTCATTATTTATTAAATTTTTAAAAAATATATAAAATTCACAGAAAATTAAAATTTTCTACAAAGTATTTTAACAAAAAAATTAATTGAGAAATCGAAATAATTTACTAATAAAATTAACACAAAATATAATTTAGTTGAAACTTGAAAATGCTACAGTAATTTAGTAATATATTTGATGCTTATCCAATGAGTTATAGACTCCCTACAACCATTACATGCAGTAATCGAACAATTCAACACTTCAACTATGTCGGTAGAGAGAAAAAAAACAATGACGTGGGCTATATTTTTACTTTTTAAAAAAAAATTGAGAAAACGAGGCGCACTAAAACATGAATTTTGATTGCATATATAGATCATAGTTACAAAATTATAATATAAACATACAAAATCATTAATTTCATTTCAAATTTGAATCTACACTACTTATAAGAAAAAAGTGTAAATTATATTACTATCATGAATGCATTTGGAGAATATAAATTATTATCCCTAATGAAAGGAATTCCGTAAATGCACATATTTCCATATAAAAAAAAAAGGTTTTGCAAAAGAAGAATATTGAGAGAGATATCAGAGAAATTAAGAGAAAAATGATCTATAATATCAAGCACAAAAACACAGAAGTACGCTGTTCTTTTCTTTGCTTCAAGATTAAGGTTGAGGAGACTTCCGTGTTTTTGTAGAGCAAGCCAATCGTTATTGGTGAAAAACAAAACACACACAAACACACCCACCAACAGGCTTACTTGCATCATGTGAGGTGATGATAATATTGCATCTCCTTAAGCAAATTCAATAAGAAATGGAGATGGATGTGCATGGAAATCGCTAAATATACATCACAAAAAAAAAAAAATTCAAGAAGCGATGAAATGGTTATTGCACTTTGAGGGAGTAGTGGTGGATGTGGATGATGCTTCTGCAGGAGCACTTGACTTCTCTTGCTGCTTCTTCCATCTCTCAATCTCCTTCAACAGCAAGCCCTTGCATTCCTCCTCTCCATCATCGCGATCACTTTCCTTCATGAAACGGACAAGCTTTCCATTCTTAAAATTGTAACCCAGGTTAAAACACATCCTTTTAATCTTGTTCTCTCAAGTTTTTCTTTTTTTTATTTTTTTTTTCTGGGCGGTGGAGCTAAGAATCTAAGAGAAACAATGGGAGCTTTATCCTGATAGTTTCCTTAAGGTTCTCCTTAATTTATATTAAAATCTCGAGAGTGTTATATATATATATATATATAAACACATATATTTCCTTTTTTTCCTAAACACATAGATTGAAATAGAACATTGTCACAGCATTGCTGCAAGAATCCATTTTACTTCATTCAAACCTCTGCCTATATACTTTTACTCTGTTAAGTTTTGGAGCTTTCAGATCCAGGGTTTCAAACAAAAACAAAAACACTTTGTTTTATTTATTTCTCTTCATGTTCAAACAATGGCTGCTTCTCGCGATTGCTGAGTTCCTCAAGGCAAGAAACGTAGAACTATAAATCGTCAGGACTCAAAGAAGAACCATACAATTTTAATGTGTAAAATGGAAACTTGTTTCAATAGAGCTGGAGCTTGTTTCAATAGAGCTGGAGGTCTCTTCGGTTATAAGAAATAGCTGTGAAATTCATTTCAACATATGGGCCGTGTGTACATGGAGCCTATGACCAGTCTATTATTAGAGTCCAATATATTGATTAGGGCATCTAGCTCAACGTATATATGTTGGGCCCAATAAACAATCTCCCTGGGCCTTGGTTGGATGGAGGTCCTTAATTCGTCAAGAAAATAAGGAGCAGAGATATTAATGGATCATTTACGCTATAATTCTTTTTTTCAATTTTTTTAGAAAACAGAGAAGGTAAATTATTTTTTTATTAGAAAATATAAAAACTAATATTACTGTCAAGATTTTAGAAAACCAATTTTTTGGCTTTAATATATTTTAACAATTGATTGTTTATTTTTATGTTTTTATTTTTAAAAAAATAAACAAGTTTTCTATAATATTATCGAAACGAACCACCAATCTTATAGGAGAGAATTCTTAAGTACTACATTAAAAATATTTTAATCGAAACGAACCACCAATCTTATAGGAGAAAATTCTTAAGTACTACATTAAAAGATTTTAATACTATGTTTATTTATATATATATATATATATATATATATATATATAACGAAATAAGAAAGATTTAAGCTATGGATCAAAAGCAATGGTATACATATAAACAAATCTCACAAAACCTCATATAAAATGATGTGACAATTACTCCTTTTTATGTTTGATAAATCATTTAATATTTGCATAATCCACTCTCGTTATCTTTTCTCCATCTATTGGTCCAATGGACTCTTAATTAATGGGCACATTTTCTTAATTTGTATGCATAACATTTTTCATAAGTCGAACACTTACTCTCTATTAATATCTCCTATAAATCTATACACGAATTAGTAAGTCGTAATAATTCCTAGAGCTATGAAACCCCGTTTTTTGAAATTTAAAAGGTGAGTCGGGTTTGAAAAACATCATTCTGAAAACACGGTAGAAATCATATTTTAATAAAAAATTAAAAAAGTTATTTAAATTTAATATTTTTAAATTGTTTTAATGTAATGGTATCAAAAACAACTTTTATAAATAAATTTTTAAATAAAAAATTATTTAAAAATACAATCAGTACCATACTCCGAACACCCTTAAAAAGAAATCGAAATAGCCTTGGCTTATGAGTTGGCCTCGGCAGCAACTTCCATCTACAACGAATTCTTATACAAGTTCTTGTTAGAGAACAATCTACATATTACAGTAAGAATAAAGTAATTAATATCAACCATAAATAAATAAATAAAAAGTTAAATAACTTTAACATGAGTATATCCATTGTTCCTCCTCTCCGCTCGGGCATATGATTGTTGATATAATCCATGCAGTTGCCTTTCCCACACTTCCCTTGGAAAACTGTTCTTCCGATCCTCCGATGGAAGCCCTTCAAACGCAAATCCTACAGAATTAACCATACCCAACTCGTGATCATACATTCTACGAGCAATTGGATCGGACAATGTCTCATAAGCCTTTTGAAGCTCAACAAATCGCTTTGTAGACTCTTCTTTTGCTGAGGGAGGACATACATCCGGGTGGTATTGTAAAGCCATGCTTCTATAAGCTTTCTTTATCTCATCAAACCCCACATTCTGAGATCCGAGAGAAAGAACTTCATAGAAGTTCATCTTTTTTCGAAATGCTACCTCGTTAGTCGTCGTCTTGCATAAAATTGTCCTGTGCTTATAGGATTTTTGCCTCGACCATTTCTTCATCATAATTGGAAACTTATTTGCTGTCCTAGGACTTGCCAGCAGGGACATCTCCATTTGAATTTCGGAGCCCGCCCGAGTCTGAGAGAATTAGCGATCGTAAATAGCTTGAAAGCTGTGAGTGGAAGAAGTGAAGGGCTTGTGTGTGTGTGTGTGTCTATATATATATGCTTAGAACACGGTTGTACTTTCAGCGTTTTGAGTAGAAATTAAGGGTGCTGTTGACTGCAATTTTGGTCTGGAGTCGTCGTCGTTGTTCTTCCCTACGTATTCTTGCCTGTTTATATTAATTAATTAATTAATAATGATATTTCTTGATGGCCTTACCTTTCTCTCAAAGTTTTTTGTTTTTAGACTGACGTTGTGCAAGTTAATTTGTCCATGCAAATTAAGCAGATTCCTAGGATGACTATACCAACACGAGTCCATCAACCACAAGAAATAACAGGAACGACAACATTTTGCATGAATATTATAAATGTTAAACGACAGTGGAGATCCCAAAAGATATGTGGGTCCATCAATTAATATATACACACACGCGCAAAGATGGCAACCCCCTAATTTTCTATGTTATTTACAAGGTGGTCAAATTCCATCCGGGCTCTCCAATATCTAAATATCTATATTTTTTATTATAAAATAATATTTTTGACATTAAAATATTAAAACAATTTGAAAATACTAAAAGAATTAATAAAACAATTCAAATTTTTCAAAAATATTTTCAAAATATAAAATAAACAGGATCTGAATATGAGGTAAAAACACAATAGAAATATGGATAGAAGTATAGATTGCACCTAAGTTCTGTTTTCTGCTGGCCGGCCGGCCAAGTTTTGGTGTCGAGAATTCTCGCGTTTATGCTGGGCAATCAACTATTTTCAACGCACCTTGTACGTTTAAAAAACTCACGTATACTCTCTAATTAATAATTTTTCAGACCGAAATCAGCTGTGTGGTGCACAAATTGTTGGTCAACTACATTGTACTAATTAATTATTAATTAATCCAAATATTATATGTTTTAATAGGTCCAAAAGTATATTGTTTTTCGCATTCAACCATAAATTGAAAACACCGATATATATATTTCTATTCTTTTCTGAGCTTCGATGCCAAGAAATCAGTCCACAAGAAAGTCACAGTACTGACCATCACCAGGTTTCTTTTTTTTATTGAATATCCGGTAAAATTAATAGGATTATATATATCTTGATTAATCTTACAAATTTAAAATTAATAATTATATAAATTTTTAATAGTTCTAAAAATATTCAAATTCATGATTATTGAAAAATAAATTTAAAACATAAATAGTTTTTTTTTTTGGATTATTTAACATATATGCCTTGGCTTCTTGTATTGCCGTCCTGTGGATTTGGTCGGGACTTGACCACTTGGGAACATGCCTGAATGAAATTAGCAATGGCAAAGCATTATTAAAATTGAATATTCTTACTTGGAAATGCAGCTGGCTAGGCTCAATCACGACATACAAGGACAAGACCAGAGCATTATAAGTTTAATCAGTAGAGAGTATATTGTTCTTTATCCCTTGCTTTTGAACGTGATTATAATTTAGTCCTTTGTGTTTTAAAAGCTATAACTCGATGCCTTGCTTTTAGTTGACTGCAATTTTATTACAATATTTTGATTTTCCTCTAAGAATTTAAATTATTTCAATATGCTTTTGGGATATAGAGAAAAAAAACAACAACAAATGTTTTTCTAAAACACTTGTCAAGAAATTCAAGACATTAAGTTATAGATGCACTTGGTTATTTATTATATGAATTGTGGTCATTTAAACCAAGCAATTATGTAGATCTAAATGGTTTTAGCTTAATGTTAGTTAGAAAATATGAATACCAAATATTAATCCTGTCCATCTTACGGTAAAAAAATAAATTTGATATAATATTAAAAAATTATCAATTTAAATTGTTAAATTGTTAAATTAAATTCTAAAATTAGTTCTTATGATAATTTTCTATCCGGAAAAGAAATAACATTCATTGTATTTTCACTTTCCAGTGAGACTAATGTATGAAATTTATTCTATTAACCATAACTAGTAATGATAAAAATAAGAAATTTAAAATATGCAGAATATTATTACAATATAATCTAAAAAATAATTTTCTATGTTTTAAGTTATCATTAAAATCTCGGTTATAAACTTGTAAAGGTTCAAAATTGTTTAAATCCATAAGTTTACAAGCAAGATGGATCATGGACTCAGCATACAAGAATTAGCACAAAGGTCAAGACTTAGCTCAGGATATATGAAAGCCCTAAGTGCAAAGTTGGGTTTTTCCTCATCAACCAATTCTAATTTGTAAGGGTGGAAAACGTTCCGGGCTTACAGACCCCCGAGGTTTCTTCTCGTGCGTCAAACTAAATATTCTTTCAAGATATACATATGTGTGTGTGTATATATATTGATCATGAGAAATTATTTAGTATTGTAATTAAATATGATCTAGTGGGTTAAATTTTTAAAGATATATTGGATTAATTAGAGTAAACTCCAAATAACCTATTAAATTTATGGTTCCAATCATTAACTCTACCATGTCCAATATTTTTTTTATTTAATTATATAATAAAAAATATGAAGAAAAATTAAAAATCAACTAAATATTAAATAAAAAAATAAAAAAATATTAATGTTTAATAAAAAAATAAAAAAATAAAAAATCAATTATAAGCCAATTACCCTGACCTAGATGGCTCATGCGTCTGATCTTAAATCAATTGTTGTGATTAAAAAACAAGGAGAAGTGATGTTTTAGGCCACAAATCGATTTTTAAAGCCATTTTCACATAAAAACATCTACAAATTATTATAAAAAAACTCCATAAACCACTTATCAATCTCAAAACACACTAAAAAACTTTAAAAAAAAACAACATCAACCAATAAATATTCATAACGAAGTTGGCTCTTCTTTTTCAAGTATGTTTATAAAAAACCGTATCATTATTAAACTTTTTTCATTGAATAAAACTCATTGACACAAAAAATGATGAATTTTGTCATTGAGAAAAGACAATACCAATTGTTTTCTCTCTCGTTTCTTTCTCATCTCTCTAATTCAAGAACTTAAATGCAAAATAAATGAGTTTTTGGATCAAAATTGAAATCACAAAAAATATAGGGACAATAAAAGTAGAAAAAGAAAAGTAAAAAGATAAAAAATAAACTTTTCCGCCTATTACCAATGGGTTTCTCCTTGTTTTACATTTGGTCCCTTTCTTTTAAATTTTTCTCATCTTAATACATTTTTTCAAAGTGATCATTATTTTGAAAATAAAAGGACATAATTGAAAAGAAAAAACCTTGAAAATCAAATTTAAAAAAATAATATTATGGGTGCTACAATGAAAATGCCAATCATTTTTTTTATATTGTCAGTAGTTTTACTTGTGTTTCATTATTGGTTAGATAATTTTTTTTTTCAATATAAAAGAAATATGACAACATTTCCTATGTGCTTTTTATATAAAAAATCTTAATTATAAATTGAAAAGTTTATGTATGGATTTAATTAAAAAAATTGAGAATTATTTATCCAAGCAAAACACATAATGAAGTTCAATTTTCAACTAACCAAAGTTAATCAGTCAAACTTATAATTCAAGTCATAATCTCGATCAAGTTAAATATTTTTATTTAATTATAAGATAAAAAATCTCCCAAAATTGAAAACCAACAAAATACTAGGGTGTTTGTTTGAATTATGGTAAATTTACAAATATCAAACCAAAACAAATTGCATTACCCAATTAAAAATCAATAAAATATTAAAGAATGTAATTTAAAAAAATAAATAAAAAAAATCAATAAAGATCCAATTGTGAAAGATTAAGTTAGGAAAAAAAATCAATCAATCAAAAAATAAAAACCAGGAAAAAAGGCTTCGATGTATAACCTGAAGCCGTCCACGTGCCTGAGTCTATTTAATTATTTTTTTTCTTTTTTTATATGAAAAATAATTTATTATTTATTTCTGAATTCTTTGAGAAACAAAACAACTAATAACGTGTTACTTGCTCTACTCAAATTTTAATAACCAAAGGTCACTAAAAAGTTGGGTCAAAAGTGTTTCAAATCCAAAAAATCCATTTTTAACCACTGTTTTACCTAGGAACACTTGAAAATACCATAACGATCACCTAAATAAATATATTTATGCCTTTAAATAACCTAAAAACAATCCAAAAGCAATAAATCAATCCAAAACCAAATAATTTTTTAATATCAAATCTATTTTTTCAAGTAATTTAGAGATAAAAAATATTTTAGTAGAACTTTCCTCGTCAAATAAAACTCGTTAATATCAAAAGCAATAATTTTGATTGTTGAATCTTTACCGCAAAAATTATAGAGTCTCTCTATTATACAGGACTAAAAACTAATATAAATAAAATATAGAAATAAAAAAACTATTTGTTTTTATGTTTAAAACTGCATTCAGTATGAAAAAAAATATTAAATTTGTGTTTTTTTAATGTTTTGAAATAATTTTAATATATTTATAAAAAAATATTTATAAAAAAATTATTTTAATATATTATTTCTGTGTCTACGGTGACAGAGAAAGGGAACAGTTTCCCATGTGTTTTAGTGTTTTGTCAAGTAATGCGATGTGATGGGAGGATTGTGGACCTAATGATTTAAGATATAGGATTTAAGACAGGGCCCCCATTGATGCAAATGGATTCAGGCCGAATAATGATCTGTGGCCTATTCTGGGCTACAAACTCATGATGGAGCTGGAGTGCCCTTTGATAGAAACAAGTAATTCCAGCAAATTCATGACAAGGCTTGAATTATCACATGAAAATCCAATGATACAGTGAACGACTTATAAAGGAAGGGCGTGGACAAACACAACTCCCATCTCTTTAATGAGACCGGTCCAGACGATAGCTACATGTCAGTGACAGAGTGGTGCCACGTGGAAACGTAAATAAGATGTGATCAACTTTTCCACAGCAAAATGTAGAATCTTTGATGCTGTTCTTCTTGGTAATGACCGATGATGATGGTGAGATTTGTTTAATTGTGATGATGTTGTTGTTTTTTAAATATATATTTTTTTTAAAAAATTAATTTTTGATATTAATATGTTAAAATAATTTAAAAATATAAAAAATATTTTTTAAAAAAATTAAAATAAAAAAGGTTGAACATCAATACTAAATAATATTTAACTTTTTTTCATAACTATTACTTTAAATTAAATAGTTAGGTACAACGAACCTCCTCATTTGACTAACTCGATAATTGATGAGAGTGAAAGGACTTGCTATTTATTTTTAGATCTTTTTTTATGTTGAAATGGTTATCTCGGATAGGTTTAATTTCTTAATTTATAATATCAAATCTTGATATCATTACAGGAGATAATTCAAAATGAAAAGCATGGCTTTAAATAGGATATTTAATAATTGATAATATTTTTGGTACGTCCATGACTTTGGAAAAAGAGGGAGGAGAAGAAGAAAGAATTGTCGATAAAATAAATTGAAGGATCAAGGATCTTAGAATTTTGGGCATGTGGGGCCCTGGTATATTTCAATCACAGAGTATAAAATAATTTGGGATCAAAACGTGTTTCGTGCAATCAAATCATGATAGAAACCGGTGCGCCACCCTCTACCACCAGCCCAGCGTGATCAAATCACGGATTCACTTGGTACCACTGAAGCTAAAGTCGGTGGAAAATTAGGCAAAACATACAAAAACTAGACTTTTTTTTTTCTTTTTTATGAGGAGACCAAATTATTTTGCAAACTAGTATAGTTGAGTGTACCTGAGAAAATATATTTTACTCTAGCACAAAATAAAATTCCTCCACCTACTATATATATATGATCTAATAATTTGATATTAATTTGATATAGAATTAGTTTATATGATCTAGTAATTTGATGTTAATTAGATATAGAATTATTTTATTTTATATATTTTCTTACTGAATAAATAATAAAATTAGATATATAATTTTTATTATAAAAATTAATATTATAATAATAATGAGAAGCTGTAACTCGGTACTTAGATTGCCCTTGCGTCATGTGGTGTTAGAACGAGTCTAGTACCACATGATGTTAGGACTATCATAGCCACTTAAGCAAGCTATGATCAAATGGATTTGGGTGTGAAATCTTTCCTATCCGCAATCTAAATGAATTGGGTTTGGGATGGAGTATGGATCCAATGGAGTAAGGGATTGGGTTTATATATGAATCTAAAGGGTTTAGATTCTTTTCAATCTAGACCCCACAAGGGGTTGGGGTGGTTTGAAATGTAATTTCAAAAGGGTTGGGATCTAGGTCTATATTCCAACCCAAAAGTGTTTGGGTGAGGGTTCTTTCTTGACATGAACCAAGAGTGTTTGAGGTTGGGTCTGTGGATGAACCCAATGGGGTTGTGGTTAGGATCCTTCCGCAGCCGAGCCTCATTGTGGTTGATGGGTTTTGATAACTAATCCGTAGGGGGTTTTGCCAGCAAACCTTGCTGGCTTGGTTGGGTAGTCAGCTCATGAGTATGGCTCCAGCATCTAGACATGACAATTTAAGTGTCAGGTGTCTGCCATGGAAGGACAAAACCTGTTTTTACCTGCAAAGAACACGTTTTTTAATATCATATAGATTCTTGAAGTTACAATTTAAATTTTATTATTTTTATTTTTTAATATAAATTTGCCCTTATCTGGTGAAATGCTATGCGGCCAATTAACCTGCAAGAATGTGAGGGTCCCACTAACATGGGTTACTGGGGTCCTGATTTTCCTCGATGCTTTTATGGTGAGAGGATCCACTCATGCTCACAGAGCTCACGCCCACCACTGACCAATTTTAGGGGTCGTTGATTGATGATTGTCCTTTGGATAAGATCACGTGATCCTGACCCTCCTTCTGTCTGCGTCCATACCCCTTAACCTCCTATTTGTCAAGAACTAAAACTAAAGAGCCCTAATCAAGGAAAGGTAGCCCGGCCCAAAAGGTAAATAACTTGAAAAACAAGCTCAAATCTTAGGGCCCAATACAGCTAATTACCAGCAACAAAACAAAATCTAGAGAGAGAAATAGCTAAAACCTCGCCAATACATCTACATGGCAGTTGCGACAATTCTATCCTCAAACGTCTAACAGGCGCGTCGTTTCAACGCTCCAGTTAGGATAATCAGAAACAATTCTGAGGGCCTTTTTTTTTTTGGGACCCCACCAAGAAAGAAAATCTGGCATCCAGAGGATAATGCCACGTTGAAAGTGCAGCCACTTGTCTCTGTATTGTCGCACGTATCACTCTAATACGTGCGGTCCCATCACTCTTTTTTATGGGCTGTTTGGAAACGCGGTTGAAGTGTGTTTCCAAAAAATTTAAAAACTATTTATTTTTATTAAAATTTAATATAATTTATACATTTTCAATCGTTTTAATATATTAATATTAAAAATAATTTTTAAAAAATAAAAAAATATCATATAAAAAATTATTTAAAAAATAATCATTACTACTGCCAAACACATTCTAATCTCCTCTCACCATTTTTCGCAGTTTATATCGTTTCATAGATATTTGAAAAATAATTTTTGTATTTTAAATTTATTTAAAAATATCAAAAATAAAATTTTAAAATTAAAAAATATTATTTTAATATATATATATATATATATTAAAATAACCACTATCAAACACTCAACCCTTCTTTTTCTTGATAGTTGAGACCACTGTGCAAACAAAAACAAAAGTAATGTTGGGGCCCCACATCCTAGCGTGACCCCACGTGTCGGGAAGATTTCTCATTTCCTTGGCCCTATTTATAGAACGCCAGGGGTGGCTCTTGATGGAGCACAAGGAAGAAAGGGTCAGAGGCTAGATAAGATTAGTGGCATCGCAGTCTTGGTTTTCATTTTGGTTTTCTCATTCTTTGATCTCGTGATATTTGTGTTTTTATTACCTATAGCAAAGAAAGCAAAAATGTTTATTGAGAAGTTTAAGGTTGAGAGTCCTAACGTTAAGTACATAGAAGATGAGATTCATTCCGTGTACAACTACGAAACCACTGAACTTGTTCATGAGAACAGAAATGGTTCTTATCAATGGACTGTCAAACCCAAAACTGTCCAATATGAATTCAAGACTGATTCTATTGTCCCCAAACTAGGGTTCTCACCTATATACCAAACCCCTTTCTTTGTTTTTTTTGTTCTTTTTTTTTTTTTTGCTCGCGCTAATCTTTTGTGGGCTGATCTTAAAATCTTGAAATGTTGTTTTAATTTTTTCTCCTCGCAGTGTTATGCTTGTGGGGTGGGGAGGAAACAATGGTTCAACTCTCACTGGAGGTGTTATTGCCAACAAAGAGTGAGTTCATGTTTTTCTTTGTTGTTTTTTTATTTAAGTTTGGCTATGATTTAAGGACGTAAAGTTGGGTTGGTAGGATTTTTAATTAATTTTATGATGTGGGTTGTTGAATGCCTTGCAGAGGAATCTCCTGGGCAACTAAGGACAAGGTGCAGCAAGCCAATTACTTTGGATCACTTACCCAGGCATCAAGCATCAGACTTGGGTCTTTCAATGGAGAGGAGATTTATGCTCCATTCAAGAGCCTGCTCCCCATGGTATACATATGTCTTACATTTATTAAGTACCGTGCTTCGCTCTCCAATTTTTTATTATATCTTAAGTTAATTCATGAATAATTCTAAACTATTATGATAATCAACAGTGAATTTTTAAGCAAAAAAGAAAAGAAAAGAATTATTGTGATATCAATATTGAAACGTTAAAAAACAACACAGGTGAACCCAGATGACATTGTATTTGGGGGATGGGACATAAGTGACATGAACTTAGCAGATGCCATGGCGAGGGCCAAGGTTTTCGACTTTGACTTGCAAAAGCAATTGAGGCCCTACATGGAATCCATGGTACCACTCCCTGGAATTTACGACCCTGATTTCATTGCTGCCAATCAAGACTCACGTGCTAACAATGTTATCAAAGGCACTAAGAAAGAACAAGTCCAGCAAATTATCAAAGACATTAGGTAGCACTTTAATTTTAATTTGAATTACTGTTAACTTTTCCGGTTCTGTAACTGGAAAAAGGCTTTTTTGTTCCTTAGATGGAAAAGTAATCAATGTGGTCGTGTCTTTTCATAATTAACTAGGGAGTTCAAGGAGAAAAACAAGGTGGACAAGGTTGTCGTGTTGTGGACTGCCAACACAGAGAGGTACAGTAATATTGTTGTGGGGCTAAATGACACCATGGAGAACCTCCTGGCTGCTGTGGAGAAGGATGAATCAGAGATATCTCCATCAACCTTGTTTGCTCTGGCTTGTATTTATGAAAATATACCTTTCATCAATGGAAGCCCACAAAACACTTTTGTTCCAGGTTCTTAACCGTAAAATCCCATCATTTGTTTGGAAGGCCTAATATTTTTGGCTATTAAGGAAGTTTAGATGTTTAACCTTGTTTCGTTCCTGACAACTACAGGACTTATTGATCTGGCTATTAAGAGGAACAGTTTGATTGGTGGAGATGACTTTAAGAGTGGTCAGACCAAGATGCAATCTGTGCTGGTAGATTTCCTTGTTGGGGCCGGTATTAAGGTATATAATATATTAAGAAAGCGGAATTATGTAACTTTTTGTGCTAATCGTGTTGAAATTGATGGGGGTGTTTGTGATTGTGATGATTCAGCCAACATCAATAGTGAGTTACAACCATCTGGGAAACAATGATGGCATGAACCTCTCAGCACCTCAAACCTTCCGCTCCAAAGAAATCTCCAAGAGCAATGTTGTTGATGACATGGTCTCCAGCAATGGAATTCTGTATGAGCCTGGTGAACACCCTGACCATGTTGTAGTCATCAAGGTAAATAATCTCACTTTTGTTATACCGTTACCTTTGGTTTTAATTTTCAGTTCTTACTCTTGCAGTGCTAATCTATTTTTTTTGCTCTTTTCTGTGTACGTGTTACTCGTATAGTATGTGCCATATGTTGGAGATAGCAAGAGAGCTATGGATGAGTACACCTCAGAGATATTCATGGGTGGCCAAAACACCATTGTGATGCACAACACCTGTGAAGACTCCCTCTTGGCTGCACCAATCATCCTGGACTTGGTTCTTCTTGCAGAGCTTAGCACCAGGATCCAGCTCAAAGGTGAAGCAGAGGTGTGTTTTCTTAAACTGAACTTTTAATCCTGTTTGATTTTGTTGAGCAAACTAAGTAGCTTCTTTGTGGATTGACTTGTACTGATATGAATTTCCTTCTATGTAGGGCAAGTTCCACTCATTCCACCCTGTTGCTACTATTCTCAGTTACCTTACAAAGGCTCCTCTTGTAAGTTCTACTCTTTCAAATTACTGGTTTTTTTGGGTTTTATTAGTAACTCTCAGTGAAATGAAGGGAAATGTGGAGTTGGGTTTAGTTTTTTTGACCGGACAAAAAAGCCACTAACTTTTTTTATGTTGTTCATGCCAATGTACTCGCTCTGACGCAAGTTGTTGGATTACTTTAGTCTTTAGTAACTACTTGTAAATGAAATCATGGGAATCTAGACTTGGTCAGGAGGATTCTCTGTCTCTGTCAGATTATCTTAATACCATCAGATTTATTGTCTTTATCACTGGCGGCATATGACTAACTTGTATGTAACGTGGAAAAAATAAATAAATAACAAATAAACAGGTTCCACCAGGCGTACCAGTGGTGAATGCACTGTCAAAGCAGCGTGCAATGCTTGAGAACATACTGAGAGCGTGTGTTGGGTTAGCTCCTGAGAACAACATGATTTTGGAATACAAGTGAGCTCGTGGAAGAAGATAACAGTGGACGTAGTTTGGTACAGGAACAAAAAACAACCACCCAGTTTCCCTTTCTCTTTCACTAATCCTGTGGTCAAGTGCTGCCCTTTTTTCTGTAGTGTTATATCTATGTTATATTTTCATTAATGTTTTATGTATGGATGTTGCTGTTTATTTTACGGAGTTCATGTAGTCCGATTGCTTTGGCTCTTGATGACCAAGCACCTTTTTCTATGGGAAATAGATGATCTATAGATATATATATAACAGTTCATGAGCTGTGTTTGTTGGAGCAAAGTCAAGTAATATCATTCATACTTTACTAAAGTTGTTCTCTTCATTTTTGGACCTTTTTTCTTCACGTTACCATGTTAGGGATCCATGTTTATGCGTTTTTTACTCGACTTTACCAAGAACCGTTGAGGGTATAGCGTTTTCTGAGAAATATTGTGCAGTCTCCTTTCTTAACTGTGGGACTTGTTCAAATCAGTGGTGCACGGACCAGTTTCTTGAATTGATCACCTTAAATTCTATGATAGTGCCATTCCATTATAGGTCACTTGATATTCGATAAACACACTGATTGATGCCCGCCTTGTGGAGCGCCATGGTAAAGGGCAAAAATATTTCAATGGTCCCAGCTCTCCTCTCCGTTGCCATACATATGGAGTCTCCATTATTTGAAACCTTCAGGATTATATCTATAAGGTCCCCAATTTTTTCGGTAGACCAGTCAACGTATACGTGTACAGCTCATGCTTTGTGGGATGATACTGGTCCTGTGGGGCTAATCATTATTTCATGCTGAAAGTTTTGGATCGTGTGATCATCTGTGTTTGCCTGCAATCCTGGGAAGCGGGTGGGTGGCCGAGGCTGTTGGAGATGATGCTGGGGACCCGGAGAGATTTTCTGCACCAAATCATGAGATTCTTACAGAACGAAGGACCAGTTCAGTTCTCTAGTTTTCTTTGGTTTCCTTTTCATTTTTTATTCAACTTCTGCAAAATATAATAGTGTTTCTTTCCATTTATTGAGCTCAATTTTGTTTAGGATGAGTCTAACGGTGATTATTTTTGGTTCATTCAGTTTTAAACTAAAAAATCAATAAAATAATTTTTTTTTAAAAAAAATTAAAACTAAAATTGATTTCAACCCATCAATTTCATTTTGTTTTGGTTTAATTTTTTTCTTTCAAAACCAGCTTGTCCTATTTCCATGTAATTGGACCTTTTTTATTGGGCTTGAACTTTTCTTAGCATTTAGGTTTTTTTGAACAATAATGGTAAAATATGTTTTGAACTTTTTTTTTTGTTTGTTATGGACCATTTTATTTATGTGAATTTAAGATTACTCATCAAATATTTTTTCATTTCAAAGATATTATGATCTTTCAAACACAAACAAATAAGTTTTTGCCATTTTATTTCTTTCTCTACACCCTTTCCTTCTATCTTTCTTACGATTCAATCCAAAATCTCTTAATATTTCTATCTTAAAACACATATGATGATAAACATAGAAAAAACATGTTGACATATAATAATTTACACTTTTGCACCTCCTGCTATATGTTTTGGTAACCCACAAATTCAGAAACTCACAAAGAATTACAATATTAAACACAAGTATAGAATAAGAATTACAACATTAAATACAAGTATAGAATGGAAAATCAATTGTCTCCTCACAATTGTTTATCCTATTAAACATAATTAACATCGAATAAATTTTCCACAAAAAAAAAAAATATTCCACTTGAGATTCAAGCCAACTTAAAAAGTCATAAAATAAATCACATTTGCAAGCTCTAATATACACATATAAATAAATTAGAAGACAACAACCACCCCTATCTGCCCCAAATAGAAATAAATTTTATATATATATATATATATATATATGTCTTTTGGGGATGGCGTTTGTAATACTCTAGAACGAACACTAGTATTTGTTCTGGGCCAATGATTTCCGATACACTTTCTTTAAAAGTTTAAAAATCAGAAACCCAATTTCTATATAGCCCAATACAAAGAAGGGCTGAAGTAAAATCGAACTTATCATCGGCTTTTATGTTTATATATATATATATATAATTCTTATTCTTGTTTTGAATTTTTTTGAAATCAATATAAAAACACTACATGATACGAAAAGAGAAAAAAAAAATCCAAATATTTTCAACAGCCTAGAAACTTCACCAACAAAAATTACTAAATTTAAAATTTTTCATTTCTTAACAAAGAACTGATGGTGAAGGAATAATATAATTTTTTAAATATTTTTGGTAGATAAAAAATGAGAGATGTAATTTCAACATTTAATACGAAGGCTTAAAATATGATGTGAAAGAAGCCAATATATAGAGGGTCCTGCGAAAAGCTTTTTCTTTTTATTTATTTTTGGTTCCAGCAATTGATTAAACCAACTTTTCTGGTTCTGCCAAGTAACTTCCATTCAAATCTTCATCAGGCCACCATCTTATGCTTTGGTTAAACTATAATTTGCTATAAAAAAAAATCGAGACATAATTGATTGAATATAATGAAAAATCCTACATATTATTCTTTAAATATAATGCCTATATCATTGATTCTTCTATTTTGGGTTATCGATTTTAATTCTTCCAATGTTTTTTCAAGATTTTTAGTATAGTACAAAGTAGTTAGAAATCAAATCAAGGAAAGGGGATGTAGCTCAGATGGTAGAGCGCTCGCTTAGCATGCGAGGGGTACGGGGATCGATACCCCGCATCTCCAGTATGGTTTTTCCGTTAATACTAAAGGCCAGGCCCACCGAACTGGGCTCCAGTTGGGCCACCAAATGGATGGTTCCTTTTCCTATCGAAAGGCCGAAGCTATGATTCTATGCCTTCTCTCTGCTCCAGCCATATTTTCTTAAATCTCACCACTATCACATGAGTAGGATTTGATTTCTAAATTATTTGATTCTGTGATAATAATTTTTGAAAGTATTTTTATTTAAAAAATTTATTTTAAAATTCATTTTTAACTTTAACATATTAAAACAATTTAAAAACAGAAAGAAAAATTAATTTGAAACAAAAAATTAATTTTTTTTTAAATGTGTTTATAGAAAAGATGGAAGAGGAAAGACGACTAGAGTTTGAAGAAGAAGAAATCAAAGAAAACTAGTGTTCTTGATCATTAAAGTACTGGAGAGAAGAGATCAAAGCTATTTGCATGACCCTTCATAAACAACTTCAAGATCTTTTAAGACATTCTCCTAATTTTTATAAAAAAAACCTAAGGGGTTAGCTTGCAGATAACAAGCATGATGTTGTTGCTCTATGTGTGTACTATTCGTGTTATAATTTAATTTTTTTTTGTTATTAATTCTTAATAACATCAAATACTGAGTTGTTTATTGAATATAAACAATTGAGAAGTTCTCATTGCATAAAGTTGTTCAAAAAAAGCTAGAGTATGCCTCATGTTAAATAATTGATTAGGTAATATATTAGATATTGTTGATATTTTTGGATAACAATGTTCTTTAACCACATTATTTATTGTTATATATAGTTGATTTATTTGATTCAATTTTAGTATTTAAATGATAAGAAAATATTCCTCTATTTAGTGTAGAAATAAAAAAACGTACAAGGCATTGTTTACAAGAAAAATAAACATTTATGTGTCATAAAAATAAAAATAATAGTGTTTATTTACAACCAAACTAGAAAATAAAAATTGAAATCGATCTTGGACATTGAAATTGGCCATGGATCATGATCAATCAGGAGTCAAAATCAAAGGGAAGGCGATCTTTTTATTTCTTTTTTTACAACTTTCCTTTAGTTTTCGCAACTTCTTTCTCTCATTCTTTTTAAACTTTTTTTTTTTTTTTTTATGTAGCGTTGCTTTGAAATATAATGCTTTTTATAAAGGTTTGAGTTCATAAAAATACATATTATATTTGATTTTACGAGATAGCTATTTATCTTATCTTATAATTAAGTTTTTATTTTCTAGTGTCTTCTTCTCAAAACCTAAAAAGGGTTAATGTATAACATGTTGATAAAGAATATTTGACCAATGAAAATACTTATTTTTAATAATGAACTACAATGAATTTACAATTGGATTATTTTTTTTCTGTCCAAAAACATTTTTGTCAGCATTAGCTTTTTTTTTCTTTGTTCAACAACATGTTTATCCAGTAATAAAAAAATATTTTTTCTATTTAATTTAAATTATTAGATTTTTTACTAATATTTCTCTAGTTGTCATTAACTTTTATTCAATAAATCAGGGAATTAATTTAAAAAATGTTATTGTCCAAAAAGAATTACATCAATGAAAAAAGATATTTTTCTTAAAAAATCACATTTTTTTCTACATAATTTTAAACATTGCATTTCCTGTGAGTATCCATTCTAATAATTGTGTAAAATTGAATAAAAATGAATTTTAAAAAAGCACAGACACCATACTAGTGCTATTTTATGCCAAACATATAGCAGCTTCTCGAGCCATCGTATGTAGACATGTTTAATTGTTTTATAAGCATTAGTTAATGAAAACCATTATTTTTATTAATATTTTTAAATAAAAATGTCTTTTTTTTTATTACATACAAACCATTTTCACTCTAAAAAAATTGGGATACAAAGCTAGAAAATTATTTCTCAAATACCAAGAATTTAATGAGTAGGTAAATATACCTACTCACCCAGTACATTACAACTTGAGACCTACAAATTAAAAGTATAAAATCTTGACTAATCTAAACCATCATTCCGTGACTTCATGTAATCTGGTAGTTAGGCATTTGAAAAATATTTTTTGTTGTTGGCCCACAAAGCACATTCATTCATATATATATATAAGCATAAGTACATGTTCATATGGCGTACATGGATCAGCTGTGACCGTTAATTATAAAATCAATTGGCGATGATAGGCAAATTATCGATAGCTAAAGTATGAATTAACAAGAGTCCTGAGGTAAGAACACTTGGAAGAGAGCAATTTTAAAATGTATAGAGAGGTGGTGGTAATGGATAATTGGTTATAATTTTTAATTGTAATTTGTGGCAAGTTCTCCCAATCCCAGGCAGGAAACCTGGAATTGAGCTGACACCCTAAAACCCGACAATTGGGTCTTCAAGAAATGTCTTTTCCCCCATAATCTCCATTTACCAATGCTAACAACCAATTTCATGTTAATACACTCTTGTTCTTTAAGGAAAGTTCAGAGTGGAAGTCCTAATTTACGTTTTGTTTGCTGTTAAAAATTGAAGGTCAAGGACTTCATGTTAATTGTACAGAATGCTTGATTCAAATGTGTAAGAAATATATATAATT